TAACCCAGGTATTGAATTTCTGTCACACCTAAAGCATGAAAAGTAATTCCATTTTTCATATCTTTGCTTGCTGCCAATAAGGCTGGCTGGATTTTGTTAGATCTTTAACTGGTGGTTTATCCTGAGTGCTCTTTTCTGTTGCTCTTGGGGTAGTGCTGAGTTAATGAGAGTGATTGTGGTGTTGACATAAGTGGTATATTGAATTCTGGAAAGCAGCCGCTGCGAATTGAGTAAGAGTTAATGATTAAAAAAATTAAAATATGGGATGATTGATTTAACCGAGTATGATAACAGGAGTGAATATTTGCTACATGTTAGCTCTAAAAAGCAACAGTATTTCAGAATAGAGAAATCCCAGAGATCTGGAATGGAAATAAACTGAAATTAAGAGAGAAAGCTTTTTTTCCATAACCACGTTTTGGTGTTACTATTGGTACATATACAGAGGCAGTATTTTGCTTGTTTTGTTTCTTGTGCAGAAAAGTGTTTTGTTGTTGTTGTTTGGTTTTGTCTTTAATCTCATTCTCAGGAAGAGCCTCTTCTATATATGTCATTTTTGGACTGAGATGTTATCACAAGGGAGCACACATTGGGCTCCCACTACCTGGGCACATACCATGCTGCCATGCTTGAAGCAGCAAACTGTATAACATCAGGTCTGGATATGTTCTCTTCCATATACCTTTTTTTCTGACCTTGAGCTATCACTTCATCACATTTTTTTAATACTCACTGTTTATCAACTCTCTGGCTTTTTTGTTAAATGTATGTATATATATGACCTTAATCTCACTAAACATTCGTTGTCTTGTCCTGGAATAGAATTAGGCTAAAGATGTAGGCAATGGGAAAAAAAGGTGCGATGCTCCTTTGCTGTATTCTGCCATACTTTGAGAGCACTGTGTGTGAGCCTGGCTGGTGTGGGTAGGTGAGTGCTTGGAAGGCCTCTGAGGATCATTTAGTAGAGAGCCAAGCAAAGTGGCCTGAGTGTAAAGCTGTGTGGGATGCTGTTTGATCCAGCTTGTGCAAACATCAGGCAGAGGAAAGTCGAGGATGGATGTAACCTCTCTGAGCCTAGCCCTCTGTGTCACGTAATTAATGGAACTTGTGAAGCCAAAAAGGCAGTAGCACGGAAACACAGATATATCAAGCATATTTATGACCATTTCATTAGCATTCTAAAGTTCTGTTCTTGGTGTATTATTGATAAATATGTTCTTTTCAGCTAACAGTGAGTTAAAATGATATGTCAAAAGTCATCCGAGGAGCACAGCCCCTCTGAAATTCACAAAAAGCATAAACCTGTCCTTTTGCTGCCTGATGAGCAAGGAGAATGGAGTCAGTGGGAGTGCACCATTCAAAAATGTAATGTGAAGCAGTAATCCAAATCCACACAGAGAAGGAAAAAAAATCCATAATTTCATGGGTTAAGAGGACAGAGGAGCTACCACAAAAACTCATGAATAAGTTGTCCTAGAAATCTGAATGTGAACTTGCTCAGTTTGCAAGTCCCAGCTAGATGTAAACTGGCAACACAAACTGTACAGAGATAGGGATGGCAGGGAATGGTTATTTAGTGACTTGCTGTTCCAAGCACATTCACCATGATGGCTTCACTGACCATAAATTCTGCGGCTCAAAAATCTTATTAAAGTGTCACAGTGAAATACAAAAATGTCATCTCAAGCTAAATGACCTTTAAAAAGAAATTAAAGATGAGTAAGCACGTTAGTCTGTGCATACACTTGTGATTTAAACTTGGAAAACTGAGGAAACGCTGGAATAAAGATCTTCACCATCTACAAGTTAAGCACCTGAAGCTTAAAAACAATCATTCCTTGCATTAAAGACTGGTACACCTATTACTGAAGAGGATTGAATGATAAGCATATGGAAAAGTGGCCCTTACGATTACTGGTGGAATCAACCGTAAAAATCACTTCCCCCTTTCCACGTGTGCAAGAGTGAGAAAGGAGAAAGATGTGAATCATATCTTCTTATTAAGAAATAGGGCTTCTCTGCACTGCTGTTGAACAGCTGGAGGTGTGCCTGTCCAGCCCAAAAATGTACAGCCACAAGAGATGCTGCTGCCCCAACCTATGCTATTGGCACTAGCTTGTATACTTCTTCACACCTGGCTGGTGGGTGAATTCATGTGGAGACCATTACAAAAGTAAACGATAGAGAGACACTTCTCCCTCCAAACTCAGGCGTTTATATGTCAATCTTAAAGGTTTAATTAAGGAAAAGGTGTTGGTGTGGAACCACCTGTGCTCCACTCCAAGTTAACCGGCCTTTGTTCAGTTGTTTCTCAGAAAGGTCAAGCACCCACTGCAGGATGATGAGAGGAAAATAAATCCGGCTGTGTAACTCTGTTACTGACAGCTAAAATCCATACGTTGGTAAAATGTCCCAGATTCACTGAAAATATGAGCTGAAGGTAGAGCGAAAAATAACGAGCTGAAGTCAGAGGGAAAACAACTATACATGGATCAAGGAGGGGAAAGAAAGTGAGAGAAAAGGAAAACACAGCAGGCATAAAAGAACCCATGAAAAATTGCATTTCTTCCCCAGCATCATCTATAACTTTGTTTGCGTTCATTTTTATCAGCGTTTTTTGTCCACACAGAGTTCAACCTCACACTCAAAGGCACAATCGGACAATCCTAACAGTTTTCTGATTAAATTTGAGTTACAGATTACCACGATTCACTACGTCCATCCCAACATGGGTAAGTAGATACAGTTTTAGCAGATACAGTATTACTGGCTTCAGCATTCCCAAACTGATCTACAGATAATGAGCTTTGTCTTCCAGAGGTTTGCTTACTTGCAGTAACTAAGATGGATGAGAAAAACAGACACAGAGTGATAGAAATAATGATCGTTATAGAGATTAACAAATGAGTAACTGGATGGCGCAACACAGTTGCTCAAGGCAGTGGGCTGATGCTGCATTTTGTGACTGCAGGGGCTCTGTATGGGAGCAGATGACTGATGGCTGGTATTATCAAGGAGAACAGAATACGTCCTGTTTTAATCTTTTATTTGTTCAACCTTTACTGCGTGGGTGATGTTGAATTTCTTATTACTTGAAGAGATATTTTCTTCCCCTTGATAAGGGGAAGATGATCAAAGGAATGATCGAAGCTTGGCAAAGTCCTCATAACAAGTATCTGTTAAAACGGATCTGTAATTATAAAAGGAGCGTATCTATCCTCCAGTTTTATTTCCTGTTGTTTCTGCAGCATTGCAGGGTTTTTTTGTACAAAAGTAAAGGAGATAAAAACCAAAGAATTTAGAAAAAAATTAGCTGTTCTAAAGACCTAGAGAAGATAGACTACTGTAAAATACTTCCTTTATTGCTTTGTTGCTGGATCTACATAGAGATTAAATAGCAGTGCCACGTATTTTTCTTTAAGTGAATATTTAGTTCTCAAGTGCGTAACTACAGCAATAACTAGGGCACATTTCATTCTGGTGTTATTGTATTTAGGGCAGGCATAAGCGCCCTGTGTCAGCCTGAGATGTTCACACATCTAAAGCTACTCCTTTTGAACTGGAATGTTTGGTCTAAAAGTGCTGAAAACTTAAAAAAAAAAAACTTGATGATTGCACTCAATGGCTTTTAGGCCATTTACTGAGTAAAGCCTGGGCCTAATAGGCTGAGGTCATCTGCCTTAGTCATAGTGCTGCTGCACTGGGTATGTGTGAGCATGGCTGCCTCCAGCACAGAGCACCAAAGCCACCATCTTCAGCAGCTGGTGGTACTGAGGTCTTAGCAGTCAGGAGCCATTCACTTTTAGCTTACAGATATCAAAGAATTTCTCATCAGATCCGCTCCTTGAATAAAAATACCTGGTGGTTGAGATAACCTCACACCTGAGAACACAGCATGAGGACCTTTGGCTTTGTAAAGTACATTACTTCAAAGTAGAAAGAACTGACCTGCCAGGTCTACGACTGCCCATCTACTGGTTTCCACCTTCAGTCCAGCTATCAGTGATTCAAATGCGGCTGCTCTGCTCCCTGTATGACTGTTCAGACCTCCACCCCCAGCAAGATGGCTGGGACTTCATAGGACTCCATAGAGAACCAACCTGAAGACCTTCATCAGATCATAACACAGAAAACCTGGCATTGCGGTGGTGGCAAAACCTATGCATGCCAATGAATGAACCAAATTAGCTGGAGTACTGATATGCTGTCACTACTCCAATATTCCTAAACATATTTCTCATCACTGCCCAAGAAAAGAATGACATCTGAGCTGCTGACAACTGTGCCGTTACAATTGCTGTTCAAAACAAATGAAGGGACTACAGAATGTTGCAAAGGTGGTAAATAGACTGGCAAAGTAAAATACAATTCAAAATGGTAATGTAGTGATTAGATTATTTGTCTGAGTCTCTGATTTAGTTTAAACAGTGCTGACAATGGAGCTGGAGTTCCATAATTTCAGCTGAGGAGAATTATGTCTGCACTCTGCTATTTTCTTTGTTCTCTCTTAGTCGCACAGATTGCTGTTATTTAATGGTATTTGCAGAACAAGTATAGGCTAGAATTATCTAAGAAATTTAAGAACAGGACTATTTATTATGGAAGGGTTATTGATTATATTATTCACTCTGCCATATTTTGCCTTTTGTGTTTTCAAGATTCTTTGCTGAGAAAATAAAAATAGATGTAGTACAGATGGCACATAATATTCTTACAGTAAGTTTTCTACTCACAGTTTATTCCTCCTTGGTCTGGAATAAGGGTTGGGTGAACATCTTTTCCAAGAATCACATCAGTATAGGCGAGCACTGTAACGGCAATTAAAAGGTTCTAAATAAAACTCTATGTGGAAGCGTACACTGCAGCCTCTCTACCATGCATGCTAGAGATGTTTATTTATCCACAGACTTCTGGCTGGCTAAAAAGGTACAGCTGGCCCTTCTTTTGGTACAACCAAGGTCACGACTTTGAATCTCACAAAGTTGATTTCCACCAGCTGATGGCTTGACCAGTGTTTATTTAGTTCATTCTTTCCCAGATTCAATCTGCATCTTTCCCAAACCTCAAACCCATTCTGCCGTACAACTTTGTTACTTAAAAGCCAATAATAAAGCACAAGTCCAGCTCTCAGAGCGGCGAGGCCAGGAAAGCAGCAGCTGTAGTGGCAAGACAAACAGACCATGTGGAGGAAGGTGAGTCCCTGCCAGGTTGTGGAAGAGAGTGACGTGAGGTGTGCGTGAGCACAAAGGTGCTTATAGGCAGGCCAGAATCAAGAAGAAAGATGCTGTCAGTGGATTTTGCCCATGCCCAAGCCTGCGTCCACAAGGAAAGCTTCATTTCAAGTCTTTTTCCTGCGTCAGAGAGGAGGTGCTGTGGCTGCAGCAGTCCTTACCCAGCGCCCTTCTTGTTACATGTAGTTCAGAGTAAAAACACAACCTTGAAAACAAAACGCTGGGCACTAAGTTCTGGAGTCATCAGGCACTCTCGAATACCATAACAGAAAAGCTGAGATGGTTTATTCACTTAAGGATATTTTTTCCCCCAGAGATTACCATGCTTGTCAAAATATGGATTTACAAGGAAATGGAGACCAAAATTTGGACACATTTTAATGATGTTCAGCAGAAGCAGTGCCCTCTCAGCTTTTCTCCCATATGAGAAGAAAATTTAAAGATCGTCATAACTTTTTTGAATTGCAAAAATATATCAATTTTATACTTTAGAAACATCTTTCTTTTTTTTTCAGTCAAAAGTATTTCTCATTTACAAGTATCTTTTTTTTCTTCCTTTGCTATTTTTAAAGAAAACAGATTTACATAGGATTAAATAATCCACAGGCAAAAAACAAAAACAAAACAAAACAAAAAAACACAACAGAAAAACCACCCCAAACATTTCATTTTAACTCAAAACATCTTTCCATTCTTCCCACCTCCCTCCCCCCACAAACACCAGGGCTTATTTCACTTCAGCTTGAACCAATCTTTGCTTCCAGTTTTTTGCCACACTGACAAACCCACATCCAGCTCCACTAACAGAAAAGCCTCAGACAGGGAAATGTATAGGAAGGGTTGGGCTATGCAACTCTCACTAGTGCTACAGCTGGGCTGATGTTGGCAGAACTGGGCTCTATCTGCGCTGCCTCCACTGCCGAGCCCGCTGCCGGAGCCGCCGCAGGGACAGGCTGATGGGCTGCTTCCCAAATTTCCTCATGATTTCCTTGATCCTTGCCAGGTTGGTTTTGGAGATGGTGAAGTCGCAGCGGGTAGCTCCCATGTCGTAGCCCACCTCGCAGTTCTTGGTGGCGGTGGTGTAGCCTTCTGCTTTCACACTGACCATGTATTCCCCTGGGTTGAGAAGGCGCCAGTAGTCTCCATCAGCTCCTGTGTGGAAAAGGGATGCTTTTAAGACAGGGTTTTTTTCTCCTGCAGTGCATACTGGTACCCAATGTGGGCTGGCATGCAGCACAGGCTGGTATCCAACATGAGCTGGAGGTTGCTTTTCAAATGACACGAGTAAAGATGAGACGCTGGACTGGCAATTCTGCATCCATCCTTCTCAACCATCCAGACCTTGCAGCTAACAACCAAACTCACGGTGCACTTGAGGCCATCACAGAAACCCAGCAGTCCTTTAATACAGAGGAATTTTAGGGTAATCTAGCTATGCAAGCTCCTCAGCCCAAGAGGCAAAGGGAGTGGGATGCACTCCTTGCTGTGTGTTCCCTAAAAATCTCTCATCTGGAGCTCCAATAGGAAACCTCACAGCTGGAAGAGATCATCACTGGATGGGGCTCTAAGCAACCTGATTTGGCTATAGATATCTCTGATCATTGCAGGGAAGTTGGACCAGATGGCTTTTAAAGGTCCTTTCCAATTCTAACCATTCTGTGCCACCCTATGTGGTGAACCACTGCTCAAAAAATAGTGGGAAAACATGTTCCTTATTCTGAATACGTGTTCATGCCTTAAGAAGGAATGTTCCTGATTCAAATATACAACATGGGCATGTGGCGTTGGACCTGGCTGTGTGCAGATGTAACTAGCTGGGCTTGTACATGAAAATGCAAACAAAGCTTCCATATGCAAGACAGTAGAAAGGAAAAATCCATCTGAACTTTTATTCCCTATTCAGCCTCCTGTAAACTTAAATACAAAGTAATCCTACTTCCCCTCAGATGTTCCACTAGATAGTAAAATACACGCAGGGCTGAAGGAAATGTCACCAGCAAAACCAAGCCAGAAGAATCAAATGCATTTCCAGAAAGGACCACCTTAAAATGAACATAAAGAATGCTTTCATGTGAATGCATGAGGAGGAAAAGCAAAAAGGGGTTAAAATAGCACATGGTAGAGACACTATTCCCCAGGGGAAATTGAGTGAAGTGTTACTGATGTGAATGCAGACTCGCCAGCACATGGGTAAGTTGACAGCCTCGTGGTAGGAGGATGGTTATGAGGCTGCCCCATGGCACATGTGCCTCTCCTTCTACTGCCAGCCCTACAGAGCATGGCACCAACATTTTCAAAACAATGGGAGGAAAAAAAAAAAAAGACAATAGATATTTCAATCAAGCATGCAATTCTATATATAAATAGAAGCACAGCATCTCTTATACAGAGAGGGTTTTTTGGTTGTTCTTGTTTTTAGCTCTAATGACAGCTGACAGCCTTACTACCACTTGCCTTGGGTTGCTTGCAATGCAGTGTTGCAAAAGCTAAAGATCATTTGGGTAAAAATATGATATTTGGGAAAAGATCAGACTTGCTGGCCTTGGTTTAAAAAAATATGATTTTAATTTAGGGCATGGTAAAAAACTGCAAATAGCAAGCCTTAGCAAAACAGAAATATGAACTATACTGCGGTATTGCAGCCTCTGACTGCAAACATGAAACTGTGCAAGCACACCTGTGTTAGTTCTTGTATCAGCACCTTGCTCAGGTTTTTGTTTCAGCCTCTGTGACCTGCTGTGAGGTGACAGTCAAGGTCCAGATTTCCTATTTCTTAGACCTCAGGAACAGAGCAACCTCACTCTCAGAATGGGCTCTCCGGGGAGCTCCTTGTTTAGTTATTCTCCCCTGCTTTTGGGTCTGTTGGCATCCTAACCAAAAGGCAAAACTGAAAGCTGTCCATGTTGCTTGAATTTCTCCCTAAGAGCCTACTTTGAGCTGTAGAACTCCCTCAATTCTGGCAGTTCCTGTGTTCCCAGTGTGGCTCCCCATGGGCTCAGCTTGCAGCCGTGCTGTGTTATGCCCCTCAAGGGAAAAGGGAATCAGGAAGGGGATTGGGTTACCACTGATGTGTCCGCCATCACATCCCTGGGGATGCTGCATCCCCACCCCAAGGCTGACCCACATTTCTCTAACACATTTGATAAGCAGTTTATCACAGCCACACACCAGGAAAACATCTACGCATTGACACACCACTGGGAAATCATTTCAACACCAAATATCAAGCTGTGAGCAGGATGTATTTCACTCCTTGATAGGATCGTGGTGTTGATGGGTCTGTGGTTGAACTAGATACTCTTAGTGGTCTTTTCTAACCTGAATGATTCAGTTATTCTCCGATACTCTGATGGATCCTGCTTTAAAATGGAGTCATTAAGATAAATGCAACAAATTTTATTAAATACCCTATATAAATTATCCTAATACTCTGTTACCTGCAAAAATGTCCCCAGAAAAGCAAGTGATAGTGCTGTACGCCCAATGCATATAATAACCGAAATCTAACTTCTCCACTGAAAGGCAGCCAGCAAGGAGGAAAAAATAGAAATATGCCTAGCTGAGACTAATGATATTAAATACTAACTAGATGCTATTTCAAAATCTTTGAATTTGGTTACATAATGTATGCTGAAAGCACATCAAGTTTACCAAATTATTCATAATTTTTTTCTCTGAACATTGTGTGAAATTAAATTAATTACGCTTAATTGCAAAAAAATCACACAGAAATACACAAGTCTTTGAGCTCTGGTACAGGCTCCAGTACAAAATGCTTCACTGGAAGAGATCTGTATATATCTTGGTTGAGACTTGCTTTGAGATTTCCAAAGTGTGCAAAAACGCAGAAAAATGATTTACCCTTCACTAAATATTCCAGGTTTAGTCATATATTAATTGCTTACTGTGTGCAGCTTGTAGTAAACAAAATGCAATCCTTTCCAAAGGACTGGGCAGCCTGGTCAGGTGCTTGGCAACCCTGCACATAGCAGGGGGTTGAAACTAGATGATCATTGTGGTCCTTTTTAACCCAGGCCATTCTATGATTCTATGATACTCAGAAAGCTGCCACCTAAGTCTGATTTAAAACACAATGGCCATGGTAAATCAGATGCATTTAGCAAACTACTTTCCCTCTGTGGTGGAAATTCCACTGATCTCTGCTAGTGGGAGTGATAGGATGTGGTTTAGAGACGTTGTTAGTGGACACGGTGATGATCAGTTGGACTTGATCTTCATGGTCTTTTTCAACAAGAATGATTCTACGGTTCTAAGACAACCCAAAAAACTGACTGCATTTGGAGCATCAGGTAATAAGGGCAGCCAGTGCATTCCTTCACCCAATTGATGAACTCCTCTCCAAAGGTTATCTCATAGAAAATAGTCCACGTCTAACCATAACACCATATAGAATCATAGAATGATTGTAAATCAAATATAATCACAGTTAATCAATAATTGCATCTGCATCAAGAGAAAATGGCATAATCTTCCATAAAGCTCTTACTCTCAAAATCAATAATTCCAAATAGCCTATTAATATTTCCAGCTCAGTGCCGCCAGTCTCCTTTTCCCATAAGACATATTGTACTTCCAAGAGAAAATAAAAAAGTGCTTCCTGTGCACATTTGGCAAGAGATTTTCTCCAAAAAAAAAAAATAAATAAATAAAAAATCAATGATGTTAGAAGGCCTTTGCAGGCGATTCTGCCTGCTCTACAAGGTATTCTACCACATAGATGCACCAAAGGAACAGCAGGCACCTTACAGCCTAGGTTGCTTGAAACAAAAAGTCACATGAATGAAGGTGATGGCCATAACTCTCCTCCCATATGGACTATGTTTATATCAAGACAATCCAGAGATTCACGTGGATATATATTTTTTTCATTTTAAAAGTTATAGAAGGAAGGAGAATGCCAACAGTCTACCTTCTTTCTCTAATGTTGTATGTGGCACGTTAGCTTTTTGTCTCCAACAACATATACATTGTTATCTGCCTAACAGAAAACAAAGTCCTGTAGCTTCAATCTAAAAAGTGATTCCCAAAAACAGTATCAACTTCATTTCTCATTAAAAATATAAGTAAAAATAATAAAGCAATTACTTTTGCTTGCACTGAGATGGCCTTAAGCCACAAAAACTCAGCAGTAAGCCTAATGCAAGCAGCTGTGAGCTTTCAAGTGGTAAAAGCTGGGCTCTGGGACCTTGTGCACTTTTCCCCATGCCACCAGGACTCACTTCCATATGCTTGTCTTTAAACAGTTGATTTTTCTTTCATGTGAGAATCCAGCATACAGAGAGCTGGAGCCTGTTGCACTTGCTTGGTCTAACCAGAGAAATACATTAATTCTATTAGCAGAAGAATGCAACTTACAGTTTGTGACCCTCCTCCAAGACAGAGAAGACCAAGTGATTACTTTCGCTCCTGCTATCATCTCCCACTTGTCCAATTGTGAAATATTTAAGGAAGAGTCATTACTGCCTAATTAAGAATCTGTTATTCAACATTCTGTTTTACAACAGGGACACAGTAACACCGAAATAAAATTATTTATAAACTAAGTTAGATATTCCAAGATTTATTACCGTCCCCAACAAAAGAATAAGGAGGTGGAACTCTCTTATCTTCGTGGTATGCCACAGCCTGGATTCAGCCAACACACCAAAGTATGCCATCTTGCACCTCAGCAGCCAGCCCTTGCCATCACCTCTTGCTTACCCATCTCCTCTCCACGCCCCTCTCCTAGCGTCAGAGCTCAGAAGTGCCCCAGCCACTGGGGGCAATCACACAGGACCTCCACAAACACAACAGCTGGTGGACACCATCCAGCCCCTGACCTGCCAACAACAGTTTTCAGGTATTACTATTAATCCTGTAGTCACTAGTGTCTATTTAAGGCAATGCTTTATTTAGTGCCACGTCTACTTGCCAGGCCATTAAATAGGCCTGGAGTTTACTCTGAGCACAAATAGCTACCTCTGGGTGTAGATCAAACAAGGCCAACAGACATTTGTGCATTTTTTACTTTTAGCTATACATACTGAAAATTAATTCTCAGGCTGACATTCACCCATATGAAACACTGCTTTGGCCGAGCTCCATCAAAATCTCTTTCCCAAAGCTGTGATGCTTTGCAGAAGACTGCAGTGTGTGAAACCCCTTCCCTGCAGCAGCTGTTCTTCCTCTGGACGCAGCTCAGGCTCACGTCTCCAACACATTCCCATCACTTAACAGCCAGAGGAACACTGTATAGCAAACTGCTACGACAGCCTTGTTTGTCAGTGCTGCAGTTACTCTGGGTTGAAATTTGCATTAGCTCTTCATGAGAAAAGGAGGAATAAAAATTATTTTAACATAGCTTGACTCAAGCAATTGATAAGGGGCAGATGGAAGGTTATTTGCTCAATACTATCATCATTTATTACCTGTGCGAATGTCATGGTTAACGCCTTCTACTGAAATAATGGCATTTGGGATCCCCCTTCCATGTATGTCCTTCACTATGCCCTTGATGCCCCGATGGACCTGTTGAGAGAACAAGCAAAAAAATAGACATTGCTTAGCAAGGAGCGGCGCTGCCATTAGAAAGATGGAGCAAATCATGAATTCCAAATGTGAGCTAAGCGTACCTATTCTGGGGTTCGTACAATGTGAATTCAGCTTACAAATACTGGCAGGATCCCAGCAACACTGAATACGAGACACAGATTTGACACACAGAGAAAGAAGTAGAGAAGGAAGCCAACAAGTGGGTCAGGAGTTATGATGCTCTTGAATACCTGCTCCATGAAAACGATGAGGGACTCCCGGTTGTTCTCCCACTCCTCAGGCAACTCGCTCTCGTGGGGATACTTGTCACAGCCCACGTAGATGGACAGCTCAAAGCAGTTGGTGTGCAGATAGCTGAAGTCATTTATGCCTGTCAGTGGGGAGTAAAAAAATATAGTGGAGTAAAATACAATAGAACGTAATAAAATGGAAACAATGAGATTTTAAACATATATATGGTGTGTATACATATACATATATGTATATATATATATATATATATAAAAGCTTGTAATGAGTGAAAGAATCCATTCTGTGTTTCCTCTTATGGCTTTGCAAAGGAATACAATCTGCATCATCTCTCTGTGATATGGACTTCCATTAGAAATCTGTCCTGACCAAAACCCAGGAACATCAGCCTGTGAGGAGCTGCAGCTTGTCTGCATTACAGAAAGTGCTGTGACCTTTACAAAGGTCTCGACTGCTATGGAAGACTGTATTTAGATTCAGATCTCAACTATTTCCATTTTTCAGCTTTCTCTTCCAACTCCTGCAGCTATTTTCCTTTGGAAAATTCCATTTATTCGCTCTTCACAACCACACAGATAACATGGCACGGTCTATGAGCATTAGAGAAAGGAGTGATAGGAGCTTCCTTCATTACTACCCACTTGCTTTTACAATAAAAGAATATATAAGCAAATGTTTATTCACAATCACTAAGAGTTATACTTCACAAAGGCAAAGATTGGCAAAGATAAAGAAATGCACTCACTTCTAATGGAAAAGAGTTACAAACTAAAAAACTGTAGTCCAGTCCAATTACCACAGAGCAGTAGTCAAATATTTAATGAGACCTCAGAGCCTCCTGGGTGCAGAGTTGGAGGGTTATGTAAGGCAGATGTTATGCTCTTCACATTTCTTGGTGGGGAAAGCCTGAATATCAGACAGTGGCATATGCTGCACTGCACAAATGCGCTTCCCTTCCATCTGAGAAACAGCCACAATTATTTTTCCCTCACATATTCTATCACATCCTGATTAATCTATTGTGAAATGTTTTGCAATACATAGCAATTGCTCAGTTTTAGTATGTGTATTTTAGAAAATGGCTTAATGTTGCCAAGAGCAATTCTCTGTGTATTAACAGGCAACTCCAGCCTTGAAAACACTAGAAATAAAATAAAATTCATCTGTTCTTTGCCTCTGAGCAGCACACCCAGTGCATAGACGTTATATGTAAATCTGCCTAAAGAACTTGCATTCATTGCAGTCCAGAATGCATGCAGAAACTGTTATACATTGAACTAAAGGGTAAATAAACAGAAAGTTGAGTGACCAATGTATCTATACTTGTGTCAGCGTGGGAATACAGAGGGAATGGAATGGAAAAAGTATGAGAGAAATTTGCTTTCAATTCTGAAATCATACTTGGAAAACACAGGGTACTGTTGGTTACTGTCAGCTGTAGAATATGTCTGTGTGCATATGTGCATGTCTTTATGTGTGTACACATATCTACACCACAAAATTCATTCCATTTCTCGATGAAGAGATGAGGTCTAAAACCATGCCACAGGTTGAATGGAGACCACATCATCCAAGGTGCAGCCTAGGCTCTGGGATGTAAAGAACAAAGGCAAAAGCAATATTTCAAGCATTTCTCTCAAAGACAATATTGGAAGTCTTATTATTATGGAATAAAGCAGGATATGTAATATAATGAGAAACATCATAAAGCAATAAAATAGATCAGATGAACAAAATGCAATATATAATCATTTCTAAGAAATCAAGACATTATTCAGCATCCACATTGCACGCTGTTACTTAATGTAACTTAATACCAATATCTGTCAGGCCAGTGCCATCTTTTCTCTGTTGATTCATAATTGTGTTCCTGTGTTTCACTTAGGAAAATTAAGCTCATAAATTATATAATTAAGCAGTCAAGTTAGCAAGTTCCATATTTTTAAAAGAATTTGGAGAAATGCATACAAATCTATCATTAGACACTGGCCTTCCAACCTGAGCAGTTCAATCTTCCTCTTCCCCCTCCCTGAAACTCACCCACCACTTTTTAACCTCCAGAAAAAATATTTGAAAAGTTAAATCTTGGCTCTGGCTTTCAAAGGCTGGCCAATGTTAATCATATATGGGCCAATGTAAAAAAAAGTCCAAAGCTGAGAAACGTTTACGCAGTGAAACTACCTGCAAGTTACAAACAAGAGCCAGTTCCAATAAAAACGTGGTCTGCACAGATGCTTTCCTGCATCTGTTTGCCATTAGGGCTGCAGTGGCTCCTGTTATCATTCAGGCACGCTGCTTCCTTCTTAATTCTGTAGAAAGTGCTGTCTAACTGATGCACCTGGTTTTGAGTAGAGCTGTGATGATTCTGCAGAGCGCCTCATCAGTCTGCTCAAGTGTGCACCCGTAGATAACTGCAGCTATTGCTGATAATAATGTGTCTTTAATTGGGCTTCCCTAGAAAGTGATGCTCTGACTGCACTACAGGACACAGCTTCCCCTTTGTGCTCAGTGACAGTGACACAGGCTGGGGCACACTGTGAGTGATGTGCTCTGTAATTTATTCTGGCAGCAAAAATGCCTGCGGAGCCTATTCATATTTTAAGCGTGAGCACATCCAGGTCTCTTAAAAAGAAGATGGCAGCAGGCAAGCAGGTCTGTTCAACACAGCTGAGGTTCCCCTGATATATAGGAGATTTGGTCTGGGTTGTTGCTCTGCCAGCAAACCATCTTGAATGTAGAGAATCTATACATTAACACATTGCAGTTCTGGAAACCCTGGTAGTAAACAGAATGGCCATTGGGTATTAGTGACAAAGCAGTCCCTGTCAATCTGCCACTGCCTGATGACACGCAATGAATGGATTTCCAGATGAGGAAATATTGCTCTCAGAGCACACTTTACCACCTTTACCTCCACAGTGCATACTGGGCAGTGATGTCATTATCACGGTTAACAGCGTAATGGCACAATAAATGGGAATTTAGGAGGAAATTCTGTACTCAGAGGATGGCAAGGACCTGGCACTGCTGCCCAGAGAAGAATGGATGCCCATCTCTGGAGGTGCTCACGTCCACGGATGGGCCTTGGGCAGCCTGTGCTAGTGGGGGGGCACCCAGCCCACGGAGGCTGCAACGAGGTGACCTTCGAGGTCCCTTCCAACCCAAGCCGTTCTGTGACTCTGCTAATTTCCTCAGGCACCTACTTCCAGCCACTGTGTGCCACGAGGCGCCATTAACTGTGCCGTCCTCCTTCTGGAAGTCCTCTGTGTGACACGCTCTCCTCCTCGCGTCTGTCATCAGCCGGTGCGTGGAGGCGTAGGAGTAGGCGAGCCAGCGAAAGACGTGGTCATCTGGTGTGGGTGTGTAGTCCTGTGTTTTCCACAGGGACCTCACCATGTCGTAAGGGTACGCCACCACCAGCTCTCCTCCCTGCAGATTGCCCCCCAGCACAAAAGGAATTTTTTCCATCCATGCAATGATTGCTCGTGTCTCCACCGCCACCTAGGAAAGAAGGAAACAGCTTTGTTGTGGCCTGTGAGATCTGGAAATCTTCTGGGGGCAAACTGGAAGATGCTTCACACAGAGTGAGTAGTCAGCACAAGAGATGCGGCCAAGAAGAAAATATTTTCATGACAGTGCCTGCTAGACACATTTTGGAGGCCACTGACAACCCATAAAAGCTAACACAAACATTAACATTTTTGTTTTATCCTGCAGGAGTGATCTAGAACCACCAAGTTGTCAGATCATAATGCTGTGCCCAGCGGCATCAACTAGAATGAGTTTGGGAAATAAGGGGTTTTAAGCAGGGGAATATTTCTAAAGCCCACAGAACTGCTGCAGTTAAGTGCCTTCCCTGCAAACGGGAAGCTTGGCCACTATAAATAGTTATTTCAAATGCCATGCAAAAAATAAGTTAAGTTTTAACATGGCAAGCATAAGCAACTGTGGTGTTATTTCAAGCAACATCAAGAAAAAAAAAAAACAGGAGAAATCTGCATGGTGCACATCTTGTAAAAGAGCTCATCCATGCTGCAAAGCTGGGCAGCTGCTTTATTCAGAGGTGAGCCCAGCTGTGGGCTTATGCTGTGTTTCTTTTTCTTTACCTGCCTGGGACTCAAATTTAGGTATCAAGTCCTCCAGGCTCACCCAATAGCCTGGAAAATAGGAAAACATGGCACTCCAGGAAGCTGCTCCCTTTCCAAGGGCAGCTGCTAAAACATGGGCCCCAACTGTATCTTTGTGGTGCACTTTTATTTCCACTGACTATCAGGGAAGCCCAGACAGTTGTCTTAGAGCAGGTATGCAGCTGCAAGCTGCATTTTCCACGAAAAATACAAAGCTCAGTCTTTCAACCTGCCCCCAACTTCATCTTCCCATCTCTCCGGAGCCAGTGCTACTTACGGTGGCATTTTCAGATAGGTACCAGTCAGGAATGGGGATGTGATGATTTGGAACTTTCCTTTTGCTCTTCTTCTGATCTTCAGACTCCCAGAGCAAAGAGTTTAAATCTGGGAAATTATTGTTGATGTCAATGCCATCCTGAGTCCATCGACCTAAAGACCAGCCCCCTAATTCTGAGCCCTTAGATTGAAGGGAAAAAAAAAAAAAAGAAAAAGAAAAACAAATGATTATTCAGAAAATTATCTGTAATCCCCAGCAAAGTAACTGGGGATGATCCATGCACAGAAATGGAAGGATGAATTAGTTCTATCACAGAAATGAAAACATGGATTATTTATTTATTTATTTATTTATTTTAGTTGATTGAGGTAAAGCCAAAGACAAAACACCTGGGGTTAGACAAAATGTTCTGGTTTGTTTTCAAGGTTTCTGCAGAAGACTATTTTTCCCTAGGTTACAGTGGAGATGGCATATATCCCTTCTATGGCTGTGAGCACAGCTTTTGTATTCTAGTCTGCTGCTACTGACTGCCCAGGAAGATTTTCCAGTGCACCTGAACAGAGCCCATGAATTTTCCCTTCCCATTGTCTGTCTTATTCCAGACTGAAATATCATGATGCCCAACACATTGTGTGCTCTTTAAAGGTGCTAGGTGCTATATTAAATTTCAGCTACAAAAGAACACAGACTTTCATGTGCTTAAGCTTGGTTTCCCATGGCAAAACAGGCTTCACAAATTCTCCATTTTCCATGATGGTGCTCTCACTGATTTACTCCTCAGTACTGTGTGTTGTGGAAGTCTTAGGGCCCCTCCTTTCCACAAGCATCCTCATATTAGCCAGTATCACATAAAGACCGATACAAATTTTGCGCCAGGTAAGATGCTTCAATGGCTTATGTTTTGCTTTGATGCTTCTGTTTTTATTTTTGATTTTTATTCTTTCAGTTGCTTGCAAAATATCATATACGAAAAAAAAAAAAAAAGGACAACATTAATCTAACAGATCTAAATAATTCCTCAACATTACCGCCTTGTATGCCTTGTCATATCCATCTGGGTTGACTGAGGGAAGAAGGTGGATCCTGGTATCCTCAATGAGATGCACAATGCGCGGGTTCCCAGCGAGGTATTCCTGACACATGAACTGCATTAACAAAAGGATCAGCTCACGTCCAAGCACTTCATTCCCATGTGCTCCTGCAATGTACCGAAACTCCGGTTCACCTGGCAATCACATAGGACAGAAATGCAGTCAGAGCAGCAAATGAAGGGTCTACAGATGTCAAGCAGCAGCTTTTCACTTAGTGTGGCTTGGAGAAATGCCTTAACTGAAAAAATAATAAATGAAAACACATAAGAAACCAATAATTACTTTCTGTAGTTACTCTAAAATAACGGGCATATGCATCAGAGCCCTGGTAGCACGCCGTGATCGTATAGTGGTTAGTACTCTGCGTTGTGGCCGCAGCAACCTCGGTTCGAATCCGAGTCACGGCATCACCTTGGTGGTGAACACGAGGCTCTGCCTTTTTAGTCAGCCCACCTCAACCCAACGAGGATCAACACGGCCAAGTCCATTGAAGGAATAAGACTTGCAAACCCCATCTAAAACAGATCCAAAAGGGACAACCTCACATGGGCCCACCCTCCCATTTGCCAAGCTCGCGACACACGATCTCAGGCATTGATGGGGAGGGGGGAAGGACATGAGATGAATTATTCTGGTGTTAGCACCTGGGTAACACCTCCCTTGCTATGGGGTGAGCACTTAGCAGGGTGTTCACAGGTATGGCAGAGTGCATCTGCACCAATGCCTGACGACAGCAACACAGGGAGATCTTTATTCATACCCACAGAGGGATCACAGACTGAATGACCATCTGTCCTGTGGGAGGATATTACCGCAGGAAATTGAACCCCCAGCGCTCACTGCTGAAAGAATACTGGGAGATTTGACCTGTCTTTGTTTGCAATGCATACACTCCCATATAAAAAAGTAAATTTTCATCCAAAGCTACATAAATTTCAGCACTGAAATCCATTTCCCAGTGCTAAGATTCACTTCTACTTTATTACTGCAAAGAATAAAACTCATTATCATTGAAGAATTTGATCCTACATTCAAAATGCCTTCTGTTTGTGCTCATCCTACTCTTCTCATTTTAGAAACTCAGCATTGAAGTTCCTCCCACATACATTCGAAATCATTGCAGCCATGAATATAATTCCATCAGGGATAATTATTGCAGATAGAATGAGGAGGAAAAAAAAAAAAAAAACAACAAAAAACAAAGCAAAAAACCGAAGCCCAACACCTTCCAACATAATTAGTTAGATTAAATCCTAACCAACTTCATGTTCTCCTGGGTTGTCGGAAATCTCAACAGCGTACAGTTTTAGTCCTTGGTGGCTTTTTCCAATGTTGTAAATTCTTGTGATGTTTGGGCACATTTTATTCACAGTTTTCATCAACTGCCAAAGAAAAAATGACACAGAGTTAGACTAACAGCATCAACAGTATCATGATTTCATTCCAGATTCGTTGTTTCAGACACTCTTCATTTTCTATCTTATTTCTTAGTTGTAAATGCTTTATGCTTAACTTATGAACCAGAGCTCTACTGTCACACAACACCAGTTTTGTTCAGCTGAAACAGCACAGTGTAGGTGAAGTTCTAGATCTTGCTTACATGAGATGTATTTGTGGTATTATCACAGAATTAACTGCGTGATGGGTAGGTTCAAAAGGAATAATAAAGAACAAACAAACAAACAATTGCCTACATAAGTCCTACACTATCAGGAGATAATAGAGCATATGTTCTCAGAATATTACACGACGGATGGAGGGTAATTAGGCTTCTCAACACCTCTTCCTACACGCTCTGTATTGCAATATAAAATCTCATATGAGTAAAATCATTGTTGTAGGCAGTATTGATGTGGCCAAAACAGCAAGACGGGTTGTTATCTGAATTACTCCCATAAACATAACGGGATATACTCTTTCAGCAAATAAATGGTATAACAAATTCCTGTGAATTGCTTTACCAGGCTTCAGCAAGAAAAAAATGGCAATGCCAACATCCGTCTGAAAGCATCCATTGTCAAAATCTACTCAGTTAATCATTCCTCCAGATACTGCGTGACATCTAAATGTAATCAATTAGCCTTACTGCTTAAAAAAGTGCATAAGGAAGATCATGCTATGGGCTGCAGTTCTGTTTAAACCAGTGGTGTTTTGCAGATGTCATCCAGATAAGGACATCTGCAGTCTAAATCATCCCTCAAAGAAACAAACAAAACCTATTTTCACTGCGACAATTCAGGTGAACATTAAGACTCACAAACAAGACTAAAAACATGTGTTCTTACTAAGAAATTCTTGCAAATAGCTTTAAATGACAAAATTTATCTGCCTTGATCTTTTTTTCAGTGGAAGGGATTAAAGAAACAAATAAGAACTTTACTGTAAATTGGAGCCCTAGGGTTTATTAATTAGACAATCTTTGCATAAACAAGGGTGCATGCATTATTGAAGAAGTACTGCAGCATAACAAAACCTCTTTGCTCGCACAGCATTAATATAGAGACAATACTGCATGATAACAAAGCTGATGATTTTTAAAAAAACATTAATTAGTTGTGTCCAATTCCCATGTCACCATTTAGTAAATCAAAGTGGAAACAATTCACATTGAGAAGAACATCATTAAAATTCCTCTCATAAAAGACTTCTATTTATAACCGTACTAAAAGACAGAAGAGATGTTTTGTGTTTTTATTTCTCAAAGGCTTTTCCATCTCATACATAGGCTTTATGCATATGAGAAACAATTTCTTTTGCAAATTTCAACTCAACGTTCCTCTAAAAATGCATTCACATATGCTTCATCAGTGTGTTACCAGGTTTTGTATGTACTTTTTTCCACCTCTGCCATCATCATCAATGTGCTGGTATTATGAGGACCCAAATATTCCCATGGAATTTTTCCAATCTCCTGGGCATGTACATAAGGGTATACCATGATTTATTTTTTCAATAGAAGCATATATAGGATGCAGGAGACACTGTTTTACATTTTCTATGCAAGATTTAACAAATCACTGCCAAGTTTTTAAGACAGAATGCTTTACATCTCCATGGTCCAGAGCCACTGTGTCTGAAATTGCTCACAGTGAACCAAAAATACCAATGGAAAATGAGCTATGGAAATCTTTCTTACTAGAGGAGCTACTCAATTCTGAAATAGGGAGATGAGCCTGTCCTTGCAGAGTGTTCACAAAATCCTTCTGCAGTGCAGAACCTTTCCCAATGTACCTGGCACCAGATATCCAGAGCATCAATTTAGGAAAGCATGTTAAAGTTCATTCCTGGTGAGAAAAATGCCTAGAACGAATTTCAAAGCATTTTACAAACAATGGAAATATTTGTATTGGCCTCAGCAAACTCCCAACCATCTGTTTTATTTCAGGCCTGTGAGTATTTCCAAGTTAAACGAAGAACCTTTCCTGAATCAGGTCCTACACGGCACTCTCCACTGAGGTCCCTCTGATGGCCGTGTGGGTAAGGTACGTGGATAAGTGTTTATATATAAATACAACGCTGGAAACCAACATATTTCATATTTGCTTTTCTCATGCCCATTTCCTCCAAACGGCACAATAGGTCACCTGGAATGTCACAGTGTTTTCTTTGCGCTTGTACAAACTGTCAGAGACAATTGATGATAATAGTCCGTCAGGGCTTTATTAACAACCAGCAGGGCTGTAAAACATTTCCAGAGTTGTGCTCACCAGCAGTTCTTATTTGACAGTTCCTGTTTGTTTGTCAGTACCAATTATTTATCTTGTTAGCGCCTTGGAAAAACTGCACGCAGGCTTTGAAGAAGCCCTTCAGAGCTGGTGTCTGAAGGTCCAGTTCTTCAGTTTGGCAGGAAAGGTGTGTTAAATGTAGGTCTGAGTGCTGCCTAAACCTGGAGGAGGCAAAAAGGCTCTTCCCTTAATGCCGTTCAGGTTAGGGCTATCCATTATCCTTTAAGAAAATCGTTTGGGTATCTGAGTCCTACAACAGACCGGGTATAGATATCTCTGTGTTCTCTGTTCTGCTTCATGTCAAAACAGAACTTGCCTCCTTCTTGAGTGGAGAGATGGAGGCCGTCAATCTGGCCTTGTATGCAGCACGGGATGTTGGCTGGGAATTACACTAGTTTTCTAGATTTCATTGGCTCACCCTTAGATAAAAAGGTAATGCATGCAGCTCAAATTCAGAACATTCCACACTATCATCCCACCACTTCCATGAACAAAGCTGGCTGTGAAGACCAACACAAGACCTGAAGGTTGACTGCAATCTGACTTGTCCCAGAGGAAAGAATTATGCACAGTTAAACAGACTTAAAAATTAATACTCCTATTTTCTAAGCAAAGTATGATTCTGGTTAGACATTTCAGTTTGTAACAAAGGCAAGGTTGAAGCTTTGGGCCATATTCAGATTCACCTCCTTCTGAAGCTTGAAGATAACTATGTTAGAATAGCTAGCTCTAACATGGAAAGAAATGTCAGACACTTTGGCAGGATTTTCTCCTACATTCTATTTAATCAAATGTTCCATCTCATGAGAAGGGATGGTTTTCCATTCTTTTGTATGATTCACCTAGGTTACACAAGCAACACGTGTACTCAAGTGTCCATCTCAAATTATTTCCAGAAATATCTGTCAGCCATTTTCAAAGCTTGCTTTACAGTATAAATGCATCACGTATTTCTGGACTATAAGATGATCCCTGCTTCTGAGTGTGACTTACAGTGAGTGTCCCTATCGACTGAAGGAAGAGTCAAGCAATTTTCCCAAAGAAACATTTCATGCTATAAATTTCAACATCCTAAAAAGAGAGTTCTATTAAAATAATCAGACACTGAAAAATCCCTCCCTCCTACAAATGCTTGACATATTGCAATGTAATGTAATGCTTCCAAAACACGGCCCAGGGAAACACCCTCCTCCTCCTTCAGTGTTTATGATAAATAACTCCAAAGATCAGTGCTTTTATGAGATGATTGGCAGTGCTAACAAAAGTGATAACAACACTCTGTATTACAAAAAAAAGAAAAAAAGATGTTAACTGTAGAAATTGACGGTTATTGTTCTATTTTATACTCAGGAAAGGAAACATCAAATTCTGTGGCTGTCACCAAAGAGCAGTTTGGGGGATATAAAACTTAACACATCCCGGCTCGCAATCTTCTGCCTACCAGCAGCAGAACCCAATTAGAATGCAGTCAGTTCTGAACACACAAACTGTTTTGACGTTCAGGAACACAAATCATGGGAGAACACAGACAGGTCGCAACTGAGCAGTCTCAACCACAGCTGCAAATTTTCTGCTTGTATTAAAACTGGAAAAGCATCCAATTTTAAAACTCATTTTTTATTTTTTATTTATTTTACCAAAGACTTTTCTAAATTGATCAACCTGTCTCTCTGCAATCAGAATCTAAAGTACCCTTTACTTCATTGATCTTGGCAGTAATAGTGCCAATTGAGCTTCTACTTGTCTAATCTTTGTGCTAAGAGATATAGGCCATGAAATCTCTGCTGAAATAAGCCCTGTGACTCAGTACACAATTGCTCAATAAAAATGAACAGTGATTCATGCAGTACAAATATACTGAAAATTCAGCAAATGATTCACACACTTCAAGTCCAAATATATTATCTTTATATCCTAAAAGAAAGGAGGCAGAAACATAGAAACATCTCCTTGGTGCAATCCACACCTATGTCTGCACTGATTCAAAACAAGATTAAAAAACAACAAACACTAAACCAAGATTGACTGTTTGAAGTAATAGGAACAAAATTAACAAGGCTAGGAGTTTTAGAACTATAACTAACTGGATTTCTTTTTGCTTGTTAAGACAACAAAACAATTTCAACAGTTTCTGGTGAGATTTTCAGTACTCTACAGAATCTGATGCTCTATAGTTCACTGTAATTATGCCAAACCACTGCAAGATAGAAGAATTCTAATGGCCAAATCAGGGTCAAATTTGTAAGGAGAAACTCGTGTAATGTTTACCAGTTAAATACACATGGAAGCAAATTGATGGCATGTTAGGTGTAAATATTCCCTTGTAGTGCAGTGACGCTTGCTTAAGATGACTTACAAATTTAGGTACTGAGATTTTAATAGATTGCAACTTTTAATAATGGAATAAAAGAGATAAAAATTGAATAGATTGCAGGCACATTTAAAAACATTTCAGTAGGAAGAAATCCTACTCTGTATGAGCTCTGGAAGAACTACACCCATCCACCTCCTCCTCCAGAAGGTCACAGACCCTGCTTACCTGCCTCATCTCTTTGTAGTTATGATGCTTAAAGTCGAGATTATCGGTAGTTGTCATCTCATTTCTTCTGTGGTAATAATTATTTGGGTCTGAGAAAAGAAACAGAACAATTTTCACGTATTTATTAGCCATTTAGAAATAGAAAGATTCTTAACTGTACTGCAGGCATGGAATGTGGAAACCTGACTTCCACGCTCCTACGCGGGTTTTCAAAAACAAAACTGAAAAGGAAGAACGAGTTTGAAATATTCCCTGTTACAGCAGAACAGGTATTGATTTGAACAAAAGCAAGGAGGCAGCAGGCATCTGCTCACTGGGCAGCTACACTGCTGAACTCCAGCAGAAACGCAAAAGGGCATCCACAGGCCACAGGGGAATGCAAAGGACACGGGCAGACGATGAGTCAGATGCGAGATAAAAGAGCAGAAAAGAATATCTCACATCAGAGGAAAAAGGCCCAGTAAATGTTTTATGTCTACTTAATTAGTTTGCTCTCGCAAGGAATGGTGAGTTGTTTTTAACTTTGTGTGGTATCCTCAGAGTATTTGCGCTGCCTACAGAAAGGAACCACTGAACATACTAAACATCCCTAATTGTTTCCCTCATCGTTTGTTCTGGATGTCTAAGGCCTTTTTTAAAAAAGAAACTTTCAAATACTTTCAAACTTTTTTCTATTGGGGTATAATTTGTAATTCATGCGTTTCGTACTATCCAAGGTGAATATGTGGTTTGAATAAAAAAACCTTTCTCTTCCTTGACTTTCCTGGTGAGTGTTCTGGCCATTCACCTGGAAAGAAACAACAACAACAACCAGCCAAGACTGTTAGGGCTTCGCTTTAGATTCTGTGATACACAAACTCCTAATCTAATCTATCATGATTTATTTTAGGAATAAACAAAGCTTTTTGGATAACAGAGACATTCGTTAATGTGCTCTCTCTAGAACATCTTATTCTTCATGTAATTGTCAAACTGAAAAATGATTTCTCTTCCCACAAAACCATCCTGAATTGGTTTAAAATTTTTAGGGGGAGAACCAAATATTAAAATCTAAATATCATTCTATCTTGTTGCTACACAGTGAAAAGACAACTCTCTACAGAAAAAAAAACCCAACAACCAGTACCACTAAACAGCCATGATTTTTTGAAAGGGAAAAAGATAACTATTGGTAGGAGAAATATTTGTTGTCATTTCTTGCAATAACTAACACTTTTTGACACTATGGAAAACTACCTAGGAATACCTTAAAGCTTCACATTTCTGATATTAATATATCTAAATTCTCATATTTCCTCCCCCCATAACATTTTTAATGTATTTATATTTGGTTCTGGGGTTGGGGTTTTTTTGGATCATTTAAGTTATTTATGAAATGAAACATGCAAGCTTTATTAGGTTTTACTGTAAAATCACTCATGTATTCTACCACATATTTAATTTTCATTTAAGTGTTTCTCTTCCCCTTTCATTCACTTCCACAAATACTTCTGTATGGTCTATTGAATGGGATGTAAAAAGGCAAAAAACATCTTGTCCCACCCAAATCTGGTTGTTCAGTACACGTGGACCTGTGTTTAGCAAGCCCAACTGGAAAATTATTTCATTCGGAGCTTAACCAGGTGAGGAAACAAGATTCCTTTGCCTATAAAAAGTTCTGAAGAGTAAAGAGGGTGACATTTCAGACAGCACACCTGCATTTTCAGGTAGTTTTTTTTCCCAATCAACTGCAGGTCATCCAGGTCCACCCACAGCAGCAGTGCTGCAGAAACCCTGCAGACAACTCAGGGATGCCAAACTCTTCTAGGTCAGCCCATGCTCATTCACAGAGCTTACTTGTCAATGTATCGATGGCAAAGAAATAGAAATTGTAAAAGCAATTCTTGTAGAAAGATGCAACGTGCTTAATGCCTCAAGGAATATCTTTAACATCGTAAAAATATCTACGTTGTAAAAATTATTATAAAAATAAGCATAAAAAAAACCAAAACAGCCAGGATGTTGAAGGCATTCTCTATCACCACAAGCCAAAGTATACAGCAGCTGATTTTTTCCTGATACTTTAATCCCATTCCTTTCAAAGTCTGGCACTTTTTCCATACATCAAACATTAATGTCATGGGAATGACTATGAATACTGCAGAGCTGGTGGAAAGTCAAAGAACTGAAAAACACATACAGTGAGAACGATGGCATCTCTAGACCTTCTCAGAAAACTTGCACTGTTTGACAGCTCCCCAGAGAGTTAACACATATTTTGCCAGGTTCTACTCCAAGTCGGCTGGGATCATTGGATTTCTGCTGCAGCAGGAATACAGATCGGAAACTTAAGGACTGAAATGTAGAAATGCATAAAATACCCTGCACAGTTGTCTAGGACCACCTTGGCAAAATTATTTTCTTTCATGAAATGGAGTGAAAGATATTCAAACCAGAGAATAATTTGAATTGAAATGTGCTCATTTATTCACAACATCGTCTCAGACAGCCTCTCTTTCTTCCAAGGGGGAAAAATACTGCAAATGTGTGGCACTTCCATTTAAACTGAGGAATATATCAGCATTTTCTTCCACTAATTTATCTTTACGTTACCACGAGAGTTAAATAAGATTTCAGGTAAAGATAGCTCGTTACCTTCACACTGTATTTCTCCAAAAAGATAGGCAAATGGCTAGGAGGCCTTTCCTATCTCCACTTCTATCAAAGGAGATCAGCTTGAAAATAGCCCACTAGTCCATTGTGACAGCTCTGGGGATTGCCCATAAATTAAACCTAGCACCAGAGAAGATCCATTGCTGAGTAGTTTGATACGTAGATTGGATTTTCTGTTGTACTCTTCTACTATATGTGGATTATTTTCTACATATGTTGAGGTATAGTCAAATACCTCACAACTAATTCCAATTCAACAGACCGAATGAGATATGCAAGAGAAAAGACCTCTGGTAGTTTCTTCTTAAAAGTTTTCTATCATCATTTGATCTTCCTAATGAGTTCCTACAATTCTATTCTAATAATGAATGGAGAACTCTAATGGAAATCATAATAACAATGAGCAATGGCAATACGTCTCTAGAATGGTAAAATTCTACAGATAAAATATGAACAAAAGCCTTTTAAAGATGGCCACTGCATTCTTTGAAGACGTCACATCTGTTGAGAGGAGTATGGAGATAAATAATGCATTGGCCTTTCCCAGGAGCAGTATTGAAATTGGTCTCATTTTATTCAGTATTTGCTCAAGAGAACTTCCAAAAAAAGTTTTAAATTGTAGAAGATTAAGTTTTAGCTTTGTAACGATACAAACAGAACCTGAGGACAGGCTGTCATTTTAAGCAAAAATTTATTCTCAAAAGTAATGCACTGAATTCAGAGCAGCTCCATGCACGATCACCAATAATCAAAGCTAACTGTGGAGTTTCATACAAAGTGAGCACTTAACCAGGTAGCTTGACAAAAAGAGGCAAGCAGTGAAAATAGGACCGAATGATGCATCTACTGCAGTACTCCATTATAGGGGAATTAAAGTTCATCTTTTATCTCGAGTTGAAAGCGATGGCATAATCATGATATCAGTGATAGTTCTTCTATGTAAGAATTATTAAAAATTAAATTTTATCACAAATTTATTCAATTTAAAAGATTGCCTATTGCCTTGAATACTCGACAGTATAAATAAATGCATGAAGAGCTAGGCTAATTTTCTCTCTCTTCTCTCTGGCTACTTTTGATCATACACATTTTCTTTTTGATTTTTTTTTTCCTTAAGTTTGAAAAAGAACAGGCAAGAAAAGTACATCCATCCCTCTGAGGCAATTACAAAAGATTGTGCGTGTCAGTCTACATCTATGTAAACACTGACATTTCTGGAGATCGGGGAGAGAATTACGGGCGGGTGCATTTGTCCTCTATTTTCACCAGCAAGAAATGGCAGCTCCGATCCCCTGGCACAGGTAGGATTTGATTTGGCACCTTTTCCCAGCAGTTAAGTGTTTTTCCATTGGTGAAACGGTAAATGTCTTCTGTTGGTTGAAAGGCAGTACATTGTTGACATTGTTGGATAGCACAGCCGTTTCTGAAGAGCTACAGTCATAATCTAGAAAAGGCTGTTTGTCGAAACTAGCCTGCAGTACAGCAAAGATGCATCATGAATAATATATAATCATTGTGTTGATAAAAGTGACAAGTATCTTAGCAATACTGTTGATCTAATCAGTAATATCTCTGTACAAGTCTTCTTGTAACCACAAGCAGTGATTTCTCACTTTTTGTCCATTATTGGGTCATACACTGCAGATTTAATTAGCAGGTCCTACTACAGGACCTCACTGGCTCTAGCTGTTTTCGTGGCCTCCTGCCAGTGCTAACAAGCTTTTCTAGAATATTAATATCTTATCCAGGTTTCTTTTTTCATCTGGTATTTCTTCTCCTTTAAGCCTAGATGATGGAAAGCTGATACATAGCACCGGCTGAATGCCAACCACTTAATGCATTCAGGGATTAATAAAGACATAAAACCTACTATTACAAGTTAAAATGACATGAAATGAGGCACTGTTATGAAAAACCTGCAGAACCATCTTCCTTCCTTACACACCACCTCTTCATCTTGAGTTGCTTCCCTACACCCTATCTACCTGTGCACTGACACTGGCTCAGGAGGATACAGTGCATGCGAGCTCTGAAATCTGTCCAAGCTGCTCCTCTTGACAATTTGATATCTTGTACATCTACCTGCAGGGTGCAAATGACAAGTGTACCAGTTACTCAAGGAAACCGAGTATGGCAAAACTACTTCTATGGATCATTGGCTTCTGAAAGGATAAGGTTGGGTGAACCGACACAGTCCTACTCACTGTTTTTTATGAATTTGTTTTTTCCCAGTTTTTCATGGGAATCCTCTTTCAGAAAAGGAAGCTTGATTTCTGGTTGGACAGTCAATGCAGTGTAGCAGAGCAGCATGATCAACGAGGCTGAACTGAAGGCCAAACCAGCTGGCTATTTAACTGGAACCAAATCAAGTTAAGTCTATAAAGGGTGAGGACATTCATTTACAGGGAACTGCAAAAAATAAGCCATATCCTGCTGGTCAAAAACATGCATGGAAAGGCCTCTGCAACCTGGGGAATATTTTCTTTTGAGTGTCTTGCTTGCAATGAATAAAGTGAGCTAGAAGACAGAGATGTCAGTCCTCTCTGAGCTAAAAAGATGGGCCAGCAGCTTATCAAAACTCATTAGTTCCTGCAGTCCAATTACATTTTGAATAAACCCACCCCATTCAATTGTTGCCCAATGAATGCATATAGCATTTTCTTTCAAGAATAAACAGAACTGGTCACTGCAGACAATAAACTCAATAAAGAACTGTCAGGAGGAAGCCCCAGTGTTGTTTCTGTGCTAATCCAAGCTCTTCAGCAAGCTGGAACAGTACTCATTTCAACAGCAGACAAAGTGCAGATAGATTCTGATCTCAGTAACACTTTCACCACCAGTATGGTGCTGTGAAGCTGTGACAAACGTTAACACTTGAAAGCAGAATTTGGCCCTATATGGGTGTATACCCAGTAAGGATATAAGTGTAAAACTGCTGCAACTTAAAACAAACCAAGCTCACAAAAACACGTCTTTCAAAATATCTGCATTTTTGCTCCTTCCTCTGTCCTTAGAGAGAATTACTCTCTAAGTTGCTTTCTAAAATAGTACTGAAACACCTGAAGGACAAAAAAATCAAGCTACCTCTGCTTGGCATTTGAAGACCCTACATCAACAGTGGAACGGGAGGCAGCAAGTCTCTGAACAGCAGCAGGTACAGTTAAAGCAGTAACGATAAGCTCTGGAAAGGCAGTTCTCTTTGTGGTTCTAGTATTTCTGAAAATGCTATTCATACCCCTCTGAAAAAAAAAAAAAAAAAAGAGAGAGAACAATTCCCCAGGGTGCCAGAATTTAAGAGAAAAGAAAAAAAAATAGCAGATGAAAGATCTGGAGCAAGCAGAATGGCAACTTAGAGAAGGTTTGGACATAGAGTTCTTCAGACATGCTGAAGTTAATCCACCGTGAGACTATTTACGACATGGCTATCAGAAATATGGGTCTGTCACATAGAAGGCCCCTTTTCTAAGGTTTCACTTTACATTCAGCAACAAACATTAATTATACTCCACACTTGTGTTATAAAAGAAACATCAAACGCTCAACATTTCAGCACCCAGTTTCTAGTCTTAACCAAGGATTAAGACCATTTACCATCAGTCAGAGCATTTGCCTTCAAATTAATTCAAAGCCTGTGCAATAAAGTTAAAAAAAGATGAATAATAAAAAAAAAAATCAGACTGCATTATTATAATGGCTCTTTCTTGCCTCAAAAACTAAAGACATCCGCAAGTGATTGTCTTGATATATAATTCTATTGCCTCCCTAGTACGTGTGCACTCAGTAAGATTAATTGCATTACACTTCAACCCAAACAACAGAGAAAATCTTGTTAGATCTTCCATACAATCTTGTTTTATTAATATAGCCAATTATATATTCTACAGATCTGCATTTGAAATGAGTTATCCTGATATTGCCCATGTCTCTGGACAGATACTTTTCCAACTCTTTTTGCATAGCTCTCTCCATTAAAGAGAGGTATTGTGTCAAGAGCAAAAATTATTCAAAGGACTTAAAATTGTTGTGTCTTGGCACAGGCACTGATGGCAATACCAACTGAGCAAGACTTACCTGGTAAAGGACACCCTAGGATTTCCAGCCTCATACAGATGCTGCCTTCTTCATACCAGGACCGAGGGTTTATGCGGATGTAGCGTGCAACCAGTGGCACAGGCAGCATATTGAGAACAGGGATCTCCTTCTCACTGTTTCCCTCAAAGATCTGTGCAGGCACCAAACACATGAAAATGCTAAGATCAGCTATTCAAAATACTTTTGGAACAAAAGGATCAGGTAAAGTCACCTGGTTACAGCCCCAGACGGATAGCGCCTCCTGAGAGAGGGGCAGAGGAGCAGGAGCCCACACCCTCCCTCTGTAATGGGCTTTTGAGTACATGATGTGACCCCATGGAACAGTGGCCTGAGGCCAACCCATGTACATATCTCATCTCAGGTAGCATCAGGGCAGCATCCACTGCCCTGCTCAGACACATGGAGATTTCCCTTAAAGGATAGCCCGAGCCTCTCCCTGTGTTACATGATGTGCTCTTAAATTTACTTCAGGCTGATGGGACCACTGAGAGATGTTCCTTTTGTACTGACTGATGTTGCAAACCAAAGCTCCATATGGACAGTCCCCATTTCTATCCTATTTGCTTCACCTCATAAAGAAAAACGTCTGCTTCTTGGGACTCACCACATCTCCAGATTCATTTCTGACAGCAGTCCATGCATGGCTGTCATTGCTCACCAATACTCTGAAGGAGGTCACCCAGTTACTCCTGGAAAAAGACAAAGAGGGCTGGAGTTATTTTTCCACAGCTAAAACTGACTGCAAATTTTGTCTCATGTTATAAAGCATGTAAGGTTGCTAGCAATGGAAATCCCACTTGGCAGAGCCACATCAACACATAGATGAAAAAAGTGACATGTGAATCTAGATTTAGCAGATGATCAAAAAATCCTAGTGAACAGAAGCAGAGAAAAGCCCAAGTGAGTATTCTGGAATTCCAGGAGAGAACACTGCTTTCTTGGAGGGGCCACTTATCCTGAAAGAAAAACATCATGTACATTCACTCCGACGTTCAGAAGTCTTACCTTTACAGCCTCACAATGTTTTTTATTTCTGCTGCTGTCATCATAGAGCTTAGGAAAAAATAAATTAAAACCTCTACAAAGTCTGCCAGTTTTAAGAAGGAACATTTTCATTCCCTGGTTCAGATTTTCCTTCTGTTTTCGTGCTGGTTCCACTCCTTGCTATGAGCATTAGGCCTCCACCTGGCACGGGTCTTGAGAATACTATGGCTTGGGAACCACAGCCTGCAATAATTCCTGGTTTTATTTGCAGTAGAGAAAGATGCACATAATTCTCCCCCTGTACAGCAGAGTGCAATTGATCACAGCACTAGCACACTACTACACACCGAGATCAGACTTTGATACGGTGAGATACCCTAGATACCAGTTTCCTAATTTATAGGAAAATACCCTAATACAACAAAAACAAAATCGTCGTTCATGTTAAGACAGTACCTTGCCTGTGTTCAACCAAAGAGGTGAAATAGGTCATTGCTTCCCATAACCTGAGTGGAGACAAACTGATGTGGTTCTTTAAGCATTTCCCATGGTAACATGTACAGCTACAGAGAAGGTAATGCCCCAAATATCTCATCATGCTTTCTGTTCTGAAGAAGTAATGGTAATTTGCTTTTTTCATAACAGCAATTTCCAATACACAGCGGCTTAGAGGAGAGTCATGCCTTGGAGATACCTTTGTACTTTAAAGTCAGTCCAGATTATTAAATCCTGTTTTCATGTACGTAAACTGATCATGGGTAACCAGCTGTCCTCTAAAGCAGTCTTTCTTAAAAGCAGGTTCTTAGCTGAACTATGTATTAAAGGTGTTGGGGGTGAAAGCAGAGCGAGGAAAGCTCCTGGGATTAGAAAGAACTGGGGCACTTATGGGAGATGCAACAGGTCGTAAGGCACCTAAGGAAGCCCCCAACAGAAAAAGGACATGGAGCTGTTGGAGCAGGTCCAGAGAAGGGCAACAAAGATGATTAAAGGGGCTATAGAGTACCTCCCCTACAGGGACAGGCTGAGAGAGCAGGGGCTCTTCTGTCTGGAGAGAAGGCTCAAAGAAGAGCTTATAGCAGCCTTCCAGAACTTGAAGGGGCCTACAGGAAAGTTGGGGAGAAACTTTTTATAAAGGCAGGTAGAAACAGGACAAGGAGAAATGGTTTTAAAGTGGAACTAGATATTAGATTATTAAAGTGGACTAGATATTAGAAAGAAATTCTTCACTGTGAGGGTGGTGAGACACAGGAACAGGTTGCCTGGTGAGGCTGTGGATGCCTCCTCCCTGGAAGCATTCAAGGCCAGACTGGATGGGCTGTGAGCAACCTGGTCTAGAGGGAGGTGTCCCTGCCTATGGCAGGGGGTTGGAATAAGGTGATCTTAAACGTCCATTCCAACCCAAACCATTCTATGATTCTATGATTCCACCCAGCGACAACAGAAAGGAAGAATTTCAGAAATGGTCAACACCAAAACCAGAGGAAGAGGAAAACCAAAATAAGAGGAAAAATAACTTTTCCCATTGAAAAAGAAATCAAGTCTGAGAGAAATAATCCCAGGTTTGAATGGGGGACGCATGTATTCAATGCACATAACTGAATTAGGGCCAGTTTACAGAGTGAGGATAAACAACCAAAAAAAGCAGTGTTACAAACCAGGAGACATCATTGCTTCTGAAGCACTCCCCAGCTAGGACTTATTTTCCATATTTTAATTTTCTCACTCTGTATACTCAATAGAAGTTCAGACTTTTCCTGGAGGAAAATGTATACTAATCTTTGTACACATAATCCATCCTGAGCGATAACAAGTGAAATGCTTCTCAGAGGCAGCCTGCCAATTAAAATACAGATGGGATCACATCCAGACTTGTACAGTTACAGAAGAGGAGGATTTCAGAGGATCCTGGGAGTACACAAATCAGCACGATGGCTCGCCTGTAAGGAATAAACATCCTCTTTGCACTTGTGAGGTACAGAATAAACACAGCACAGGTGACCTTCTCCTTCCCACTAGCAATAAATACCAAAACTGCATCTATGGGTGTAAGTTCTTCCTCTTTTTTCCCTCTATCTATCATAAGGAAAAAAAAAAAAAAAAAACAAAAAAAAAACCCAAAGAAACAAAGCCATTAACCAAGCAAAAAGCCTCTGCCACTGCTAAGGAAATTGAAGTAAATTCAGTTTCCCCTCCAAAAAGGGCATCTTCTATCTTGAAGTCACATTTCTAGCTGAGTGTCTTTAAATTCAGGGTACTTCTATGGAACCAGATCAGCATTCACATGATCAACCTGTTTGAAAGCTGCAGGTATTTCGCACACGTGCAGCACAGAAGGTCTGATACTTCCAAGAAGCAAATGCATGTGGTGCACATGTTCCAACCACCAGCCTGTCTGAGTATGGCAAGCACAGCACTTTCTGGAACTGAAGAGTTTGACACATGCAGAGTGCCTGTTTTATTGGGGTATACACAGAAATGTGAAGTGTTCAGGGAAACTCATCACAGAAACAGAACAGCTGAAGTATTAAAAGTTACCTCTAGCTCATCACGCACCAGCACAAAGATGAGCTCAGGCACCACCTCCACGCCTGCCCCCATTTCATCTGAGCTACAAAATGGCCATGAGATTCAGATGTGACAGGAATTATTTGGATTCAGGTGTTTCCCATTAATGATTCCTTGTGAGATTTATGCCAGCCTTAACTTTTCAAGAGAAAATTATCTGAGAAATCTCAGTGTGTTTTGCTAAGACTAGTCAGCAAGTTAACCAGCAAGTAAATGCAAGTATCAAAATACAATACAAATTTACTCACTGTAATGGATTTCAAAAAAAAGCATTTTTTATAATTAACTAATTTTCATTCTTAAAGCGTTGTCTACAGACTATGCTTATCTGGAGATCTTCAATTTTAAATTCAGTTTCCTATGATGAATGAGAAATGTTCGGCTTATCCATTTCCATCCAAAAAAACCAAGCTGGGGGGAAGCCTAAGCAACTCACCCATGGGAAACTTTATCAAAGCATGGAGCAGATTTCCTCCATGAGCAGCAGTGGAGAGGTGCCAGGAGGTTTGCCTGACCTCCAGCAGGTGAGCACATCAACCTCTGACTGTCTGGATATGGTTTTAGTTTGTGCTGCGTGAACTATTTAGAGCCAAGCTTCTCCATTATGGACAGCTGTGTGAGCAACAGGTGAGTTGTTCCAGCTTCAAAGGATGCTCATCCGCACCACCCAGTCCCACAGGATTTAAGGCAAACAGGCAAAGATTCAACCCCATAGCCACTGAGATGCTGCAGAGCAGACCAGAACGCATTGGCAGAGTTCAGGTGAGCATCACCAGACTCCAAGCTGACTGTGTCATTCATTTGCTGTCAGGGCAATCTAATCTGTCTACATTGCAAAACTCAAAAATAGGAAATAAAAACTATAGGCAGACAGATTTGTATCCTTCAACAATACATAAATCGACAAGTCCAAGTGCTTGAAATAGAAGAATTTATAAAAAAAAATGGTAGGCAAACATTAGATTAATCTCTAATGATGCAATACAATCAGCGTGCTGGCAGTTAATGATTTTCTGATTGAAAAAGCAATCTGTAATCTCACGTAAATAAATATAAAACCATTAATATAGCCTAATAACATTTCTGTGGTTAACATTTTAAAGCACCAACTGCCCAACAGTTTCAAAAATAAGCCAAGTTCAAAAATACTCTGGCTAACCACAGGTAGCCCAGCAAGTTCTGCAAACTAATTAAAATGAACATGATTTAAAGAGATGGAGCTTGAACAGCAAGCAAGGGTGGGCTTTTTTTTTAATAATTGAAATCTTTGAATATTTAATTTTTAAAATTGCTTCTAGCTGACTTAAATGAATACACTGCTGTGAGATCTGGCTCTTTGGAGGCCCTGTGAAGAAAAGCTCAAGGCAAGAAATTCTCTTGCTCTGAATGAATTAAACATGGATTTTATTACTTTTTTTTCCTAACTCCCTTCTCAGTGAATTTGTAAATGTGTTTCCCATCCAATGGCAGCATCTTACAGTGAGTTTTTGTAAGATTTTAGTCTCTGGCCTTCCTTGAAAATCCATGGAATGGTTGGGTTGGAAGGACCTTAAAGCTCATTCAGCTCCAACCCCTGCTACGGGCTGCCTGCCCCCTCCAGCTCAGGCTGCCCAGGCCCATTGATGGATGTGGGCACCTTCAGGGATGGGAACCATGTAATTCTGGGCAGCAGCGCCAGTGGAAATCCAGCTGTAGTGCTTCCCAAACTACTATGCTTTCACGCTTTAAATACACTGTATAGCCCCAAGCCTCTTGCATGGGGTCAAAGATATCCTTGGCCTTAAAGGTTTTACAGTTTTAAAACTTTTCATTCACAGGGCCACTCCTTGCAAAGGGATCTGCACGTGCTTGAAATTCTTCCTCCACCACACCTTCCCCATCTTTTATACCTGCTAAATGCAATCAGCCTCTGATTGCTCTGACAGTAAACAGCAGAAACTGCCACTTGTGTGCACAGCTCTGAGCACGCTTACAGCAATGCTGAAAGGGATCCTGCCTACTGAGTATGCACAAAGACATGGCCAAGCTCTTGATGTGTGCAAGAGGAATGCTGGCTTGGGAAGAGGAAAAGGAGCAGCTGCACAACAGCCTATTGGTAACCCCATATTTAGTCACTCTCATTGCGAAGAGGCATAATTCA